GACCATCTCTATGAATACAGAAGTTTTGGCAGTTTGCTGGGCTGGAGCATTCAATTGTGTGCTAACACAATGCCAAGGAGGAAAGACATCAGCAATTATCTCAGTGAAGCAATTGTTGCTGCCCATCAGTCGGGGAAGGGTTATAAGGCCAATTGCAAACAATTTGAAGTCCATCATTTGACAGTGAGAAAGATAATTCACAAGGGGAAAACATTTAAGAGTGTTGCCAGGCTTTCCAGGAGTGGACATCCTAGCAAAAACATACTGCTACGCAATGTTCAGGAAAATTGCAAATAACTCAAAAGCTACATCTCTGACTCTATAGGCCTCACTTAGCATATTAAATGTTAAGGTTCATGACAGTACAAATAGAAAAAGACAGAACAAACATGGCTCATTTGGGAGGGTTGCCAGGAGAAAAGCCTGCCCTGTTCTGGCAACACAGCTAAGGTTTGCAAATTTGTATCTGAACAAACCACAAGACTTCTGGATCAATGTTCTTCGCACAGCTGAGATGTTTGGCAGTAATGCACAGCACCATGTCTGGAGAAAACCTAACACAGAATTTAAGGACGAACACCTCATACCAACTGTCAAGTAGAGACATGGAGGGGTGATGATTTGGCCTTGTTTTGCAGGCACAGGACCTAGACACCTTGCAGTCATTGAGTGGGCAATGAAGTCTCTGTATACCAAAGTGTTCTAGAGTCAGTTTGGGGCAAGCTTTAACTGCCAGACAGATGGCCTCACATTTGAGTCAAGCAACAGGAATATGTTCCCCCCCACACACCACCAAATCAGGACCGAATGGCTGGAAAAGAAAATAATCAAGGTGTTGTAATGAAACAGTCAAAGTCAAGACCTCAACCTGACTGAAATGCCGTGGCAGGACTGAGAGAGGTCCTCTCTTGAGTTGTTGCCGTAAATGAATGCCAGAAAAACCTCACGAACTGAAGTAAAACTGTAAAGAAGAGTGGACCAAAGTTTCCCCTCGATGATGTGAATAATAAAGTCATATAGGAAAAGATTATTTCAAGTTATAGCTGCTAAAGGTGGCTGTTGACTATTGAATGATTTTCACAGGACTGCAGAACGTCCTATGAAAACTTTTTCACATGACTGCAATTAAAAGTCAAGACTTTACCTGGCTGATAACCAAAACAAGGTTTCCTCAACACATCGAGCTGGAAACTATTCAAACATGAAAGAAACGGTCATTCCATTAAACTAATTGCTTCAGGTTTACCAAGCAGCATGTTTTTTGCAGTGTCACCCTTCCGTTAATGGCAGAGAAAGCTGGGCAAAGCATCCCAACTATTACATCAAAAAGCTAAGCCCTTCAGTCTATAGGCTGCACAGAGGCTGAGTGTTTCACACACAGCTCTATCTAGAAATGCAGGAAAAACTCCACCTTGAGCATTTCTTTCTGTGCCACAGTAAATGGAGGAAAATTGCTGCTGTTACTACAGCTTTTTATCTGTTGACACTGGACTGTTTGTTGTGTCACAGTTCATGCAATTCTAAAGAAAGGGCTGGGCGAGAGGTCCCGAAAAGCACATTGCTTTTATTTTTCCTATTCTTTAATGAATAACAATTAAAAAAGGAGGATAGCATTGTGCAAAAAAAAAAAATAACAGAGGACAGAGAGATATTGGTATCAAGAGGAAAACATCTGATATGATGATTTTTGCTGTTATGTATCATTTCATTACTTTCATTACTCATAGGAATGCAGCAAGGAAAAAGTGTGTATATGTCCTACTTAAACACTCATATGTCATATGCAGTGTTGGGACTAACGCGTTATTAAGTAACGCGTTACAGTAACTACGTTATTATTGTGGTAACGAGCACGGTAACTAGTTATTAT